TTTTTTTGAGTTGGAGTCTCACTCTTGTCGCCCAGGCTGGAGTGCAGTGGCACGCTCATGCTCACCACAGCCTCCACCTGCTGGCATAAGCGATTCTTCCGCCTCAGCCTTCCTAGTAGCTGGAACTACAGATGCATGCCACCAAGTTTGGCTAGTTTTTGTGATTTACTATAGAGATGAGGTCTCACCAAGTTGCCCAGGCAGGTCTCGAACCCCTGGGCTCAGATAGCCCTCTTGCCATGGCCTCCCAAAGTGTTGGGATGACAGGCTGAGTCATGGTGTCCAGCCACATGACACCTATTAATAGCATTCCCAAATTCCTATGCTTACCTGGCTGAAGAGACAGATGAATATATTTGAAAAAATATTTAAAATGCAGTCATGTACCAAAAGATTACATTCTGGTCAATGATAGACTACATATATAATGGTGGCCCTATAAGATTATAACACAGTATTTTTACTGTATCATTTCTATGTTTAGACATACAAATACTCAACATTATATCACAACTGCCTATCATATTCAGTATAGTACAGTATTTAGTGCTATGCAAGTTTGTAACCTAGGAGCAATAGACTAAACCACATAGCCCTGGTGTGTAGCAGGCTATATCATCTAAGTATACTCCATGTTGTTTATACAACAATGAAATCACCTAATGACACACTTCTCAGAATGTATCTCCTTTGTTAAGCAACACATAACTGTAATACAGTTAGGCAACAGATCCCTAAATTAACCCTCTCTGACTACACAGCTAAACACAGAAATGCAGAAATTCTGTAAACTTAAGTTAAGTTACTAGCACAAAGATCAAAAACTTATAAAATATTGAGTTTAAAAACAAGCAGGAGGGCTGGGCTCGGTGGCTTAGCCTTTAATCCCAGCACTTTGGGAGGCTGAGGTGAGTGGATTGCCTGAGCCCGTGGGTTCAGGGCCAGCCAGGGCAACTTGGCGAGACCTTGTCTCTACAATAAATCAAAAATTAGCCAGGTGTGGTAGCATGTGCTGGTAGCTGTAGTTTCAGCTACTTGGAAGGCTGAGGTGGAAGGATGACCAGAGCCCAGCAAGTCAACACTAGGTTGGCCATGGGAGTGCCACTGCACTCCAGCCTCGGCGACACAGGGAGACTCTAACTCAAAAAAAAAAAAAACAAACAAACAAACAAGCAAAAGCCAAGAAATTTCTGAAAAAAGGAATGTGGTAGAAAAAACTAGCCATATCAGATATAAAAATATGCTACCAAATACAATAGTTAATACAATGTAAGACTAGCATATGGATAAACAAATAGAGTAATGAGTAAGAACAACAATAACAAAAATCCAGAACACAACCAAATACATAAGAGAATTTAGCACATGACTGAGGTGGTACCTCAAAGAAAATAAAGGAATGGGAAGGGAAAGACTGATTATTCAATAAACTATATTAGATCTGTAGGGTAGGCATCTTGGAAAAAATATAAATTTGAATTCATACTCACATCTTACATCAGCAATAACTTAAATGTAAAAAAAAGAAAAAAATTTAAACCTACTTATTTGAATAAAAAACAATAATAAGCCAGACTCAGTGGCACACATCTATAATCCCAGCTACTTGAGAGGCCGAGGCAGAAGGATAGCTGAAGCCCACGAGTTGGAGGTCAGTCTGGGCAATAAGGCAAGATCCCACTTCTTTAAAAAAAAAAAAAAAAAAGGAAATTGGCAGCAGTGGGAAACTGCAGGGGGGCGGGGGGGAGAAAAGCACACCTCATCAACGGTACCTGCATAATGAACATTTGTACACCTAACCCTCAATTGTACCTCACATCCTTAAAATTAAAAAAAAAAATTTTTAATACTAATTTTTTTAAATGGGGAAAAATTGCATGCTACTCATAGCAACTCACGTAGACAAAGGGTTAATTTCCTAACATTTAAAGAGCCCCTAGAATACAACAGAAAAAGACCAATAATCCAAGAAAAAAAAATGGGCAAAAGCTATAAACAGACATTCACATAAAGGTAATGTAAATGGCTGATTAGCGTAAGAAAAGCTATTCAACCTCACTCCATAAAACCAAAAGGACAAATTTATAATTACATTTACATACCATCTGTCCTATCAAACTGACAAAAATCTAAGTTTGACAACAGGCCAAGTGTGATGGCACATGCCTGTACCTTCAGCACTTTAGGATATCAAGGCGGGAGGATTGCTTGAGACCAGAAGTTCAGGACCAACCTGGATAACATAGTGAGACCCTCTATTTAAAAATTCTTAAGTTAGTCAGATGTGGTAGCAAGTACCTACAGTCCCAGCTATTCAAAAGGCTGAGACAGGAGGATCCCTTAAACCCTGGAGTCTGAGGTTAGAATGAGCTATAATCCATCACTGCAATCCAGTCTGGGAAACAGAATGAGACCCTATCTTTGATAAAAATAAAAAATAAAAAGTTTGACAACAGTATGCTAGCAAAAGTATTAAGAAACAAACCCTCAAACAATTGTTGATGGGAGTGGGAACTAATATAACAACTACAGAAGGCAAGTTGAAAATATACATGGAAACTACAAAGTCAAAAACTTTTTGAATAGCATTTCCACTTTTGAAAATTTACACATATAAATATATTCTTGCACATGCAAAATAACATATATGTAAAGTTATTATTTGTTGCATTTTTTATAACAAAACATTATAAATAAGTTAAAAACCTATCAATAAGAAATTAAATAAATTATAAATACAAGCAAAGAAATACTATGCAGTTATAAAAACAAAGAGGAAGATTTTGACATAATGACATGTAAAGCTCTTTTAAAAATAAGTTATTTATAAAAGGGATAGAATTGTATATATAGTATGCTACAATTAATGTAAAATGAGGAAATACCTATGCATTTATATTTTATACAAACATAATAACTCTGTGAGGGAGAATTTAAAATATATATATATTTATTTTTTATTTTTTTTAAGGCAGGATCTCACTCTGTTGCCCATGCTGGAGAGCAGTGGTACAACCCTAGCTCACTGCAGCCTTGACCTCCTGGGCTCAAGTGATCTTCCTGCCTCAGCCTCCTGAGTAGTTGGGATTATAGGCATGAACTAGCACACCTGGCCTAATATATAATTTAAATTTACAAATCATGTGGCATCCTTTTTTAAAATTAAATACAACTTAAATCTAAAAGCACTTCTTACAAATCTTGGTGGAGGAACAGCCAGGTTCAAGCTACTCAGTGAAACCTCCAATCCGTTCTGGGCACATGCCACAAGACGCAAAGCAACAAAGAATTCCTGAGAAAGAAAAGTATGAGTGTTAAGAGCATTTTCTATCTACCTATCTACCTACCTACCTATCTACCTACACACATACATTCATAATTACTTTAGTGTTTTTATGTAGCAACAAACTTAAGGACACACTTGCTTCAAAAACGCTTTACAATTGAGAAAAGACTTATGTACAAAGCTGTTCCTAATATTATGAATAGCAAGTAACAATATAAATGGGAAAATAGTTCATACATACAGACAGTGGAAATTACACAGAATACTCATGTTTCTTTTTTTTTTTTTTTTGAGTTAGAGTCTCAGTCTGTCACCCAGACTGAGGTCTCGTCAAGTTGCCCAGGCTCGTCTCGAATCCCTGGGCTCAGGCAATCCTCTCATGTCCACCTCCCAAAGCACTGGGATTACAAGTATGAGCCACCGTGCCTGGCTAGAATACTAATGTTTCAAAGAATATTTAATGATGTTAAGAAATGTACTTTATCATTTAGGTAAAAAAAAAAAAAAAGAATTTGAAAAACAAAAGATTATAAATCGTGAGACTAGATCAGTAATCCAGAATAGCAACAGAAAATAAATGAAAATAACTATTCAGCATCTAAAACAATTATATCATTTCTTGTCTTCAAAATACTTATAAATCTCCCTTAAAGTCCTTGGATTTTTAGCATTTAAAGTCTCAGTCCAAAGGTTAATAAATAAATAAATGCAAAGAAGCTGAAGCAACTGGTTTTTTCCAGCCATTCTGAGTTAAGAGTCAGGTCTGGGCTGGGCACGGTGGCTCAAGCCTATAATCCCAGCACTTTGGGAGGTCGAGGTAAGCGGATTGCCTGCCCATGGGTTCAAGAACAGCCTGGGCAACTTGGCGAGACCTCATCTCCATAGTAAAAAAAGACAATCAAAAAATTAGCCGGATGTGGAAGCACGCGCCTGTAGTTCTGGCTTCCTGGAATACTGAGACAGGATTGCCAGAGTCCAGCAGGTCAACACTGTGGTTGGTGGCTGTGTCCATGCCACCGCACTCCAGCCTAGGTGGAGTGAGACTCCAACTCAAAAAAATAACTAAAAAAAAAAGTCAGGTCTGGGAATAGACATGATAACAAAAGCCTTTACTGCGGTTCTAATTTTTCCAATTTGTCAATACCCTAGTATATCTGTTGATACAATCAACCCTTCAAGACTTTTCTCAGACTCCCTATTCTCCCCTATACCCTTCATACCCAATTCCTAATCTATTCTTATCAGCTTGTAGGCTGTGATTGTCTTCACTCATTTCTTGGGGGAAAAAATGCTATTTTAAGATAGCCCCTTTTCTTTTCATTCATTCCACAAGCTTTCTGTGTAATCTGACTTCAACTCCACGATTTGCTAAAGAAACTACTCCTATGTCACAAATGATATCCAAATACAATAGAGTTTAAGAAAGAAAAAAAAAGGCCTCATCCTGCTCATTCTCTTTGATGTCTGGAAAAGTATGATCCTCCCTGAAGCTCTCCTCCACCAATATGGGTTCATAAAGCTCCCCTAGTTCTCCTCTGACCTTTCAAATCTCTTCTGCTGGAACCAATGCCTCACCCAACCTTAAAATACTGGTATTATAAGTATTCCAAAATGACCCTCTTTCTCTTCTCACTTTATGTGAGATTCAATTACCCTTAGGTCATCAGGTCTACTCCCACAATATGGATGGGCTCTGAAGTGAAATAATTCTGCATTAAATTCTAGTTCTGCTACTTGAAGTTATGAGGCAACAGGCAAGTTAAACAAAACTCTTCCACCAAAGGGGAGCTAATACTGGTGTCACTTTTGGCACATAGAAACGCAGTAAGTGTCGGGTTTTTTATTTCATTGACAGGTTAACTCCAAAATCTATGCCTCTAATGCAAATTCAAAGTTTAACAGCAGACTTATAAATCTAGCTATTTGGAAATAACAAAGACAACTCAAACTCAACATCCAAAATCCAGGAATATCAGTGAAGAATTTATTATACTGTAAAATCTTAAGTGACCACATCTGTCAGGTTCACCTCTGTAATGTTAAAGTCTAGCTCATAACGGGTTCTCAACAAATATTTGCTGACTGAGTACATAGCACCTGGTTGCACATATGAATTTAGTTTTCCTTTACCTCCAATGTATGAACTAGCCTTTCTATCCAGAGGCTCCAATGGGGACTATAATCTAGCCCTGAAATCTTAATTTAAAAACTGAACCGCCTCATCTAATTTTTCCCGTATCTTTTCTAGTTTGATCCTGCTTCAACTATCCCCATGTCCAAGAGGGATTTATCTTTGAGTAGTGGTGCTCAGCAAATGTTCAGCATGTAGCAAACTTTGAATTCAATACTATACAACTCTGAAATCCATCCCCAAAAATCAGAACTTTAAAGTACACCGATGGTGTTCAATACTCCTGGCCATAACCACTTTCATATATTCTGGTCCAGAGTTTACTTCTGGCCTGTAAACCAGTTTTGTGTTTAGATGTCACAGGTAATGCATAGGCCAGAATACTCAAGTGTGATTAGCCAAGTGCTTCCTTTCAAATGTACTGGGCAAATAAAATCTACTTTTTTTTTTAAAGCAGGATTTACTAAGAGGATAGAAAAGTTCCCACAGTGGGAGAGGACCCAAGGGGGTTGCCCAAATCTATTTTTACTTATAACCCTATACATCCAAGAAATTTAATCAAAGAGTAAAGTCTTTCTGAAAGACAGAAAAATAAACTCCAGGAGAACAATGTTACCAAACAAACATTAACCTTTAGGAATTAGTTATTTTAACATCCAGTGATTGAAAATATTTTCATTGTGACAACACTTGGCCTTGTAAAACCTTAATGTTGGTAAAAACCAATTTTTAGCTTAAAAATTCAAAATTTTTGATTTACCCAAAAAATTTTCATATGAATCTCTGAATCTTACTTGTTTGTTGAGGATGCCTTTGCAATCCGTGTCAGCTAAATCCCAAATCTGAAATTTAGGGGAAGAAAAGCATCAATCTATATTTTAAACAAAAATCAGCTTAATGATAAATTAAATCTCTACCATTTACAACCTTAAGCTATCTGGTATTCAGATCTAAGAATCATGCAATTAAGAGTGGAAAGAAACCTTAAAGATCATTTAGTACAACCATTCACAAAGATACTAAGTCCCAATAATGTTAAATGACTTGGCTCAAGAACATTCAGGGCACCAGAGAAAGAACTGAAACCAGGTTCTAAATGCCAGCCAAACGCCTTTTTCACTAACCCAGGTTCTAACTCTTAACTCCAATGCTCCTTCCACTAGAACATACACACTACTTTGATTTTAGATCCTTATTAAACATCGTATTCTTTCCTATGGGCAAGTTGAGATGATTAGTGTTATTTGTGAATAATTATTAATAGTAATTATTTCACAGGATTTTGAATATATGTCAATATAATGTTTAAGGATTTGTTGGGAGAGGGGCTTTTCACTTCTCTGTGCTCTTTCCAAAGCCTCCCATCCCCCACTCTATTCACCACACATTAAACAAAGACAGTTATAATAGAGGAAGTAGGGTCAGAGCCAAGTCTTTGAGAGGGTGACAAGAATTCAATCTGCACTGTTTCTCCCCACCAAATGTACTGTTACTTCCTCAATTCATCCAACTAAAAAGTAATTTACTTCTAAAGATCTGAAAAACACCTTACTTTTCAAGATGGTAAAATCACTACACCACAAATTCCCTCCAACCCATTATTGTAACGGCTTCTATGATTCAGTTCTAGCTTCTAAGTTTCTTGCTGGTATCTTTATGAATTTGCATCCAGTTCACCTATAGTAGTAAATATTCATTATACTTTAGCTACAATAAACAAATACTACCTTTCCAAGTATCAAATCTGGAAGCCCTGATTTTTTCAGGAAAGTAGCAGCATCAGAAGCCAAAACCCTTCCAGTACTGCCTGCATCGACCTGAAAAGATATAAACCATAAGCTGACAAAAAAACACAAAAGCAAAATTACCACCATTATCTGCCTTCTATCCCTGTGATGTGGGAACTGGCTTTTTCAAGAAAGAACAGTAATCTTTTGACTAACATGGACCAAGGAATATACTGAGAGTCATATGAGTTGAGTACCATCTAGACAGAACTGGCCACTTGCAAAATGTTTTTTATTTTATTTTATTTATGTATTTATTTATTAATTTTTTTTTTTCAGTTGGAGTCTCACTCGGTTGCCCATACTGGAGTGCAATGGCCGCTCCCAGCCACCGCAGCCTCGACCTGCTGGGCTCCGGTGATCCTTCCACCTCAGCCTTCCAAGTAGCCACAATTACAGGCGCACGCTACCACGCCCAGCTGATTTTTTAATTTATTGTAGAGATTTTTTTTTTTTTTTTAGTTGGAATCTCACTCTGTCGCCCAGACTGGAGTGCAGTGGCCACTCCCGGCCTCCGCAGCCTCGACCTGCTGGGCTCCGGCGATCCTTCCGCCTCAGCCTTCCAAGTAGCTGGAACTACAGGCGCGCGCTACCACACCCGGCTGATTTTTGATTTATTATTGTAGAGATGAGGTCCCACCAAGTTGTAATACTCGCTATACAAATGAGAAAACTGAAGCTCAAAGGAGGTGAAAGCAAATTAGTGGAGTCATAACATCAACATGTATCCTCTAACTCTAAATCTTCTATAGTTGTCATTTAAATTTCAATGAAATGGCAAGAGGAAGAAAAGAGCAGTATTTCCTAAAGAGGTCTTTTGACAAATAGAAATAGCTGCATATGTTACCTGCCTCTTCAGACATCTTTAAATCATCTCCTTCTGCTTTTATACCTACTCTTAAAAACTGCAGCATTTTTTTTAGAAATCAAAGCAATATCAGTTCTAAAACCAGCAGTGATTCCATAATAAACTTTAATAAGCATTTTAAAACTGTGGCCAGGCATGTTGGCTCACACCTGTAATCCCAGCACTTTGGAAGGCTGAGGTGGGAGGATCTCACACTTGAGGCCAGGTGTGAGACTAGCCTAAGCAACACAGTGGGAACTGGTCTCTATAAAACATCAAAAAAATTAGACAGGAGTGGTGACATGCACCTTTAGTCCCAGCTATCTGGGAGGCTGAGGTGGAAGGATAGCCTGAGCCCAGAAGGTCAAGGCTGCAGTGAGCCATGACCATGCCACCCTAAAGCCAAAAAAAAAAAAAAACCCAAACGAATGAACAAACAAAAAAAACCCTGTTAGTTCCTGAAACACATTAAGGGAAATATATCATTTTAACTGATTAGGGACTTTCCTCTAAGAATGAGGTCACAAAAACAGAAGAAAAAAAAAAAGAGTCATTTAAAAAAAAAATTTCCTGAAGTTCTATTTGTAAAAACAAAACATAAATTTTAAAAAGTCAGGGGAAAAGTAATAGGATACTAGGATATTTGTGAGATAGCTGTTCAGCTTAGATTTACTATAAGCATATATTACACAAAGCATTCCAGACAGTTCAGTCCCAGCAAAGAAGCAAAAGGGAAACCCTTTCTTTTTTTCTTTTCTTTTCTTTTTTTTTTTTGAAAGTAGGATTTATTGAGAGGACAGAAAAGCTTCCAGAACAGGAAGGGACCCAAGGGGGTCACCAGAACCCTTTCTTTCAAGTGCTAGAACATGGGATAAATCAGGCACTCAGCAAAAAAGTATTGCCTAATCCTTCAAATTTGGGGTAAGATGGAAGTAAAGAAAGGGATACGAAACCTGCCTATAGAATTCGCCAGAATTCCTTTTCTTTGCCCACTACCTGACCAGGGTTGGGCACATTAAACATAACCCAAATAGAGAGGCACTCAGGGGAAACATCGATCAAACTCTCATGAAATATTTATGTACTATACCCTAGTAAAGAATGTTACTATCGTACATTCTTTTGGTTACTATAATAAACACAGCCATTTAGACTTCATCATCTACAGTCGTTTCTGTTGTACTCTCATGCTTGCCTAAAGGATCTGCCATAAGCTACTGGCTGGAAGCTATATCTTCAACAAAGAAAGTCTCACAGCATTATGAAAATAGCTATACTTTTGATGTACTCTATAATATATTATAAATACTTATTCTACATATTCTGAATTATTAACACTTCAAAAAATGGACTTTTGGGTAAAGATGTCTGAGCTGACCTCAGTTAGACTACTTTCAGACTGTACTGGTAGACAAGTCAGAATATCTGGACTCTTTTCAGTCCAGAATCAAATGTGTTTCATAAAAACAGACTTCTAACCCAAGATGCAGCTGAACAAGAACTGATTACACAGGACTGACTGAACTGTTGAGAAAAGTTTAATTATGGTTATTTAGTTGGAATACTGTTGATATTATTTTTAATGTTCTATTTTCTAATGTGAAAAGGTCCTTTCTTTTTCTTCTTAGGCTATCTCAATCCTTAATTTAGTAGGCTCTCCTTTTGCAAACTGAGTGAAATAGTTTTCAATGGTATCTGATTTTCACTAATCCTTTGGAATTCAAAAACAAAGATGTTTACTGAATACCTTTACTCTATGGCAATAAAGTTATTAAATGGGTTCAATGGCAACTTGTTCTTTTTATCGGGAAACAATTGGATAAATTGATTATGCAAAACAAGCCCATTTTTGAGAGTGATTCCCTTTTATTACTATAAGGATAAAGAACTTGGCTTTATGTGGCACCAATGTGTAAAAGTTCTCCCAAGAAAACTGGTCTGCTACTCGGTTTATAAGGTTCCTGCCTCATAGTAGTAAAGCAAGGTCTCTTATCAGTAGGCTAGGAATCTTAGCAAATCTAAGAAACCTCAAGACGAGATAAATTCACTTAAATTTATATTTACTGGAGGTGAAATATGGTGGAGAGAACTTCAAAGGTTCGGAGAAGGTTGGGCTCAGTAGCTCGGCTTGTAACCCCAGCACTTTGGGAGGTTGGGCGAGAGGACTGCCTGAGCCTGTGAGTTCGAGACCAGCCTGGGCAACTTGGCAAGACCTTGGCTCTACAATAAATAAAAAATTAGCCGGGCGTGATAGCGCGCGCCTGTAGTTCCAGCTACTTGGAAGTCTGAGGCGGAAGAATTGCTGGAGCCCAGCAAGTCAACGCTGGGGTGGCCGTGAGTGTGCCACTGCACTCCAGCCTGGGCAACAGAGTGAAACTCCAACTCGAAAAAATAAAAAATACAAAATAAAAGGTTCGGAGCCTAGCCTCAAGATAGAAGAGCAAATGTAACAGAGGCTTTAAAAAGTACAATCTGAGATTCGTAAAATTTTTCAAGTAGAAATTAATTCTCTACCTTAGGTTTTGTTAAACAATCTATGTCTCTAGATTTGCAAGTCAAAACCAACTAAAACGTGCTGTGACTATGTAGAGAGCCAGGCCAAATACAATGACACCAGCCTTTTCTGTGATCATGATCACAGGTAGGGAAACTTAAAGGAGAAAAAAAGAAGACCCAATACTTGGAAAAGGCAAATAAGCTTGTCTATACACTCAAGAGACTATCTGATCTATGGTATGTATACTTGACTGACTTTCTACTGACTCGACTACTTTATACTCTGTAGGGAGAGGGATAGAGGTTAAATTAAAGAAAACTGACAGTCATGCAAATGAATTCTGCCTGTGGAGAATATAAATCTCTGTAACTCATATTCTCAGTTTTACATTTGACTGGTTCTCCCAGTAATTAATGAGTTGAATAAAAATCTTTGATACATGTTTATTTTATATTTGTAAGAAAGTCATGGTTTTTACCTTGTGAAATTATACTTCAGTAAGTCTTAAAAACAAAAGTTATTTCTACTTGTTTTACAAATTGTATTCTTATATCTGAATAACAATATCTAATGCTGTATTTTTAATATATATATTTAAGACAACTAAATATTTGAATAATTATCTTTCCTTCATTTTTCTGGGAGCTTGTCAAAAGCTTATTAAGTACTCAAAGTAGGGGGCACAGGAAGGTGAAAACCAGATATATCAAATTTATCCAGCTAGCTGGTAATCTTCATACATACAATCAAGATATGACAGTACATTTTAAGATCTAGGAAAACAATGAAACAAAATTCTTACCTGTCTATAATATTTTTCATATACAGGATTCCCACTTGATAACTAAAATAAATAAATAAATAAAAATTAGATGTTATTCAGTAGCTTATATTAACATATTTGGCATTCATTAAACAGATTAAACAAAGATGAAACAGAGAAACAAAGATGAATAATATAAAATAACTTTGATTTCAAGAAGTTAGGTTTTGTTTCTTCTTGGGGGGAGAAGAAGCATAAATAAAGACAGTCACATGGGTTACTAAGAGTCAGGTAAACAAGAAATAAAAGAAGAATCTTACATTTATTTTTGACATCAGAATTCTTTTTCTTATCCACAATTTCACCCAGAAATCCAACATATAACAAATTAGGAATGAAATGTTTTAGTTAAAACCAGTTGACAGGCCCAAAGTTCCAAGTACTCATCCTCAATGAAAGTACCCAATGTAGTTAGGAATACAGTTCAAAAATCGCTTCCATAAAATAATCAATGAGGCCGGCCATGATGGTTGAAGCCTGTAAACCCAGCACTTTGAGAGGTCAAGGTGAGAGGATTGCCTAAGCTCAGGAGTTCCAGATCAGCCTAGGCAACTTGGTCTCTACAATAAATCCAAAAATAAGCCAGGCTTGGTAGCGCCCACCTGTAGTTCCAGGTACTTGGAAGGCTGAGGCAGAAGGATCACCTGAGTCCAGCAGGTCAAGGCTGCAGTGACTATGAGCCTGCCACTGCACTCCAGCCTGGGCAACAGAGTGAGACTCTGACTCAAAGATAAATATATAAAATAATCAATGAATATACAAACTGATATACAAAAAAAGATGATGATATCATCAGATCTGAAGTGCTTACAGGCAGGCAGTGCCATTCAATTCACACTACAGTTCAAAGGGTTCCTTGGTCAGTTGATTAACAAACTTAATATTTCATCTAAGGGGCCGGGCATGATGGTTTACGCCTTTAATCCCAACACTTTGAGAAGCTGAGGTGGAAGGATTGCTTGAGCCCAGGAATTCAAGACCAGCCTGGGCAACATAGCAAGACCTCGTCTCTACAAAACAAACAAACAAAAAAAAAACATTAGCTGGGGATAGTGGTGTGTGCCTGTAGGCCCAGCTACTTGCAAGGCTGAAGCAGAGGGATCAACTGAGCCCAGGAAGTCAAGGCTGCAGAGAGCCATGAACATGCCACTGCACTGAGTGAGACAAAGTGAGATCTTGACTAAAAAAAAAGTTTTCATCAGAAAGGCATCTTGCAAGTATCAATATTTGAAGTATCACGTTTGCCTGCAAATGAAAGTATAAGAGTGTTCTGGAACCAGGATGGGAGTCCAAGAAGGCTTCATGGGGTGACATCAGAGCAGGAACTTGAGGTATGAGGAAAGGAATTCTACACAGAGGTAACAGTATGCACAAAAGCATATAATCAACAGAAAACTCAGTTGTGTCTGAAAAGAACAGCAAGAAGTTCTTAATGGAAAGAAGAATGGGAGATAAGCTGATGAAGTTTGTAGAAGATAACTTATGGAGGGCCTCATGTGCCATAGAAGAAGTAAATAAAAAAAAGAGCAAAGAAAGGGAGACAGATTCAAGAGTTATTAACTTGGTAATAATTCTTGATACAAAGTGATAATTTATACACGAAGAGAGAAACTAGAAGCAGAATATAGGGGGATACTTAGGAAGCAATTTTATTTTTTTATTTTTTTGAGTCAGAATCTCACTCTGTCACCCAGGCTGGAGTACAGTGGCATGCTCACAGCCACCACAGCCTCGACCTGCTGGGTTCAGGTGATCCTTCCACCTGAGCCTTCCAAGTAGCTGGAACCATAGGCACATGCCACCATGCCCAGCTAACTTTTTGTTTATTTGTTTGTTTGTTGAGTTGTAGTCTCACTCTGTCGCCCAGGCTGGAGTGCAGTGGCACACTCACGGCTACCCCAGCATCGACCTGTTGGGCTCCAGCGATCCTTCCACCTCATCCTTCCAAGTAGCCAGGACTACAGGCACACACTACCACGCCTGGCTAATTTCTTTTTAATTTATTGTAGAGATGAGGTCTCGCCAAGTTGCCCAGATGGGTCTCAAACTCATGGTCTCAGGCAATCCACTCGCTTCAGCCTCCCAAAGTGCTGGGATTACAGGCTGAGCCACCGAGCCCAGCCTTACTTTTTGATGTATCGTAGAGATGAGGTCTCATCAAGTTACCCAAGCTGGTCTCAAACCCCTAGCCTCACGCAATTCTCTCACCTCTGCCTCCCAAAGTATTGGGATTACAGGTGTGAGCCACTACGCCTGGTTAGGAAGCAATTTTAATGATCCATTTAAGGATATGAACATTGGGAATGACAGAAAAGGAAAGGAATGGCTTGAAAAAAGTTTATAAACCAGGCTCGGTGGCTCAGCCTGTAATCCTGCGCCTTTGGGAGGCTGAGGTGAATGGATTGCCTGAGCCTGGGGGTTTGAGACCCACCTGGGTAACTTGGTGAGACCTCATCCCTACAATAAATTAAAAAATCAGCCAGGCGTGGTAGCGCATGCCTGTAATTCCGGCTACTCGGAAGGCTGAGACGGAAGGACCGCCGGAGCCCAGCAGGTTGAGGCTGCAGTGGCTGGGAGCGGCCACTGCACTCCAGTCTGGGCGACAGAGTGAGACTCCAACTCAAAAAAAAAGAAAGAAAAAAGTTTATATACACATACACAGTAGTCCCTGCTTACCTACAGTTTCACTTTCCAGTTTCAGATACTTATGGTGAATTCTGGACCAAAAATATTAAATGGAAAATTCCGAATAAACATTTCATAAGTTTTAATAATTATTATTTGTAGAGACAGGGTCTTGCTCTGTTGCCCAGACTGAAGAGCAATGGCATAATCATAGCTCACAATAGCCCTGAACTCCTTGGCTCAAGTAATCCTCCAGTCTCAGCCTTCCGAGTAGCTGGAACTACAGGCAAGCACCACCACCCACAGCTCATTTTTTTATTTTCAATAGAGATGAGATCTTGCTATGCTGCTCAGGGTAGTCTCCAACTCCTGGCCTCAAGCAATCCTCCTGCATCTCTCTCTCAAGGTGCTGGGATTGCAGGCACGAGCCATAGCACCTGGACAACATTTCATGTTTTAAGCTGCACACCATTCTGAGGAGTGTGATGAGATCTCATGCTAGCCTACTCAGGATGTGAGTCATCCCTATGCCCAGTGTATCCACTCTGTATATACTACCCATCTGTTAGTCACTTAACAGCCATCTCAGGTATCAGATTGACAGATCACAAGGAGGGTGATTCCAGCACAATAAGATATTTTAAGAGAAACCGCATTCGCATAATTTTTATTATAATAGTGTTATAATTGTTTTATTTTATTATTAGTTATTGCTGTCAATCTCTTACTGTGCCTAACTTATAAACTAAACTTTATCATATTATTTATAGGAAAAAACATAGCATATATAGGGTTCAGTACTATCTGCAGTTTCAGACATCCACTAGAGATCTTGGAATGTATCCCCTGAGGATAAGGGGGAACTACTGTATAGACATACATGTACATAAATATACATAATTATGTACATACATGTATATAAATGTACACACACTCACACTCATATACATACATTCAAGTTCCAGACTGCAACACACATGTAAGTATGTAACTCCAACCTCCACTCCAACCTCTATGCTGTTTCCCATATTCCATGGCTTGTTTGTCCAGGACAGTCTTGATTTACAGCCTGTTGTCTCAGCATCCCATTCAATTTACCATATGTCTCAGATTTCTTTTCTTTTTTATTTGTTTTGAGTTGGAGTCTCACTTCGTAGCCTAAGCTGGAGTGCTGTGGCATGCTCACCGCCATCCCAGCATCGAGCTGCTGGGCTCCAGTGATCCTTCTGTCTCAACCTTCCAAGTTGCCAGAACTATAGGCATGCGCTACCATGCCAGGCTAATTTTTTACTTGATTGTAGAGACAAGGTCTCACCATGTTGGCTAGGCTGGTCTCAAACCTGCAGGCTCAGGCAATCTTCTTGCCTCGGCCTCCCAAAGTGCTGGGATCACAGGCTTCAGCCACCACAACTGGCCAGATTTCTCATTAAAAAAAAAAAAAACTATTATTAATCATTACATTCAAATACACTAAAATAGCTGGGCATGGTGGTACACATCTATAATCCCAGCACTTTGGGAGGCTGAGGCAAGAGGATTGCCTGAGTGCAGGAGTTTGAGACCAGCCTGGGCAAGTTGGTGAGACCTCATCTCTATAATAAATCAAAAAATTAGCCAGGTGTGGTGATGCCATGCCTGTAGTTCCAGCTACTTGGAAGGCTGAGGTGGAAGGATTACGTGAGCCCAGCAGGTTGAGGCTGCCATGGCCATGAGCGTGCCACTGTACTCCAGCCTGAGTGACAGAGATTCCGACTCAAAAAAACCAAAAAAGTAAAACACACTAAAAAACCTAGGATGGATTTAGTACCTCTACTGTACATATCTAGTTTCTGGCCAAGGCACCAGCTAATAGTGTATGTTTTCATCACTTGAACAAGTGATGAAATTTGAAAGAGAACCAATGATGATTCCATCTGATTCTTTATAGATGCAATACAACGAACACTCTCCCTTCAAGGACAGCATGCGCTCACTGAAAAGTATCCTTAGGTACAAGCAACCACAGACAGCTAACTCTTTATGGTCTTGCAAACTATTAGGAGAAATACTTGACACCGGTGCTGTTGCTAGCTATTTGGTATGCCAGCCAGTGCAGTGACATGTACAGTGACCACAAGATGCACCAGGTTACCAGCTGGCTAGGTCAGTGGGAAGTTACAGGTCAGGCACAAATGAAGTAGGAGTTGATGGTCTGAAAACTCTTGGGTGGTTTTGTGGTTCTATCATTTATTGTACAATATAAATCTACAATTATTTATCTATTTGGTGTTTGGTATTTTATTGTCTATAAGCCTTTTTAAAAGTTATGAACAAAATGAAGAAACTTATTTAATATAAACTAAGCACTAAATTTTCCTTTCTCCAGAAAATGCATGGACAATTCACATAAAACCTTT